ATCTGCAGAATTCCCTGTATCTTCTTTTGCCTTTGTGTATCTGTTAATTACCCACTCTGAACTGAATTTGAAAAAATTACTTAAAATAACCAAATCACCCGTATTTTTGTTTTTAGGGGGATTGGTGAGTAATGTGGACTCAGACTATCCTCTCTTTTTTGTCTTTCTCCTCCCTGTCCAATACTGAAGAAGGAGAGGGAGAAGGGGGTAAAGATACATGAGGCTTAACTATCCAGGGTTATGAAAACAGTTTGCAAGGACTTCCTGTTTGCTTCCCTTTTGGTTTTTCTTAGTTCCTGTAGGAAATAGTTTACCCCTCTGTGTGTGTGTGTGTGTGTGTGTGTGTGTGTGTGTGTGTGTGTGTGTAAGTAGTTGAGCAAAAGAGAATGAGACTGACTTAAGGAGAGTCGATATCTCATATGAAGCAAAAGCTGACATTTAGCTATTTGATAGATCTCAGTGAAATGCTATGTTCAAGCTAAGTTGAATAAGTTTATTAAACTTATTTATTAAGCTTGACTGAGCTTATTAAAACTTCTGTCAGGTGGAAGCCATTAGTAACCATCTGTAGAAGACAACAGCCATGAGTTTCACAAATACAGTAGTGTGTGATGTGAGCCACAAATGTAAACCACATATGCAATTTTCAAATTTTCTAGTAGCTACATCAAAAAGGTAAAAAGAAAAAGATGAGATTAATTTTAATAATATATTTGACTTAGCCTCATATATCCAAAATGTTAGCATTTCAATATGCAATCAATATAAAAACATGAATGAGATAGCTTACATTTTTGTACTGAATCTTCAAAATCTAGTGTGTATTTTATACTTACTATATATCTCCAGTCAAAGTAGCCACATTCCAAGTGTATAAAAGCTGCATGTGAGTTAACTATTATATGGGACAGTGCAGGGCCTACATCCCATACCTGTTTCCTAGTACTGATAAAGTCTTCCTACCTTCCTTTGTTGTTATGAGAGAAAATGGAAGCAGAACCTCCCTATTACATGAGTGCTGCAATATTTCCCCAAACGCAGCCCAGCAGTACCAAGAGCTGCCCTGTAGAAAAATTGATTCTGTGATTAAATATGTTATGAAAGTTATTATTTTACCCCCTTTTGAAGAATACATGGTACATTAACATATTAAAGATTGAGAAAACTACCCTGGGTAAAGAAACCTGTTTGAAGTTGTTTAGTTGTTGAGTTCTGCGTCTGTAAGAATCCTGAAAATTGCCACAAGTGTCTCTCCATAAGAAAACCTTTGTGTTTTCCTCTCTTTCTCCACTCTTTTTGGAGCCCATTTCTATTTATCTTTGCATTCAGAATCACCTGAGAGCGAAAATATTTCTTGTTCTAGAAAAACCACCACCTACATTGAAACCAACAGATGGCTTTAAAGTCTAGCACTTGGACATAGATCTTCAGAAAGTACCCAAATATATACCTTCCTCTTATTCCTTCAGAAATGGTGAACACTCTAAAAAGATGTGTGGGTGGGGTGGGGGACATTTGAATGTACATATGTGTAAACACCAAATACAGTTTCTTAAGTAGAGTAATGCAATTCTTGCTGATGCTTTATTTTTATATTTTGTTTGTGGTGTTAATGTACATTCTTTAATGTGTACTGTTCTTGTAATATGTATGAAGTAGCTGTGACATAGCAGTCAGTTTAAAAAAAGATATGGACTATACTTGACTACTGTCAATCTATAATAAGTGATCTTTTTGCAACTTGGTTTTAGTGGGGTCTCTGATGTCGTTCCCGTAAGTTTCATTTTTAAAATCTATGCTTAAGTGGCAATTACCAATATAATTAATTCTGCATTGCAGACCACTGTATTTGGAAGACAAAGGGACATGCTCACATGGCACAGTGAAAAGTGAAATCTTTTCCCACTTGGTGGTGGGTGTATGACAATTAATTAGGTCTGCCTCGGAATAAAAATCTGCTTCCTTATTGGGCTCTGATCTTTGCCTTGAATTAATTAGTTATAGAGGAATACATTTTGTAGGCAGTTTTTCTGGGAGATAAGGAATTGGTTCCTAGAGATGATCTTTTCACCATTGGAAATTAATATTCTTTCATACTGAATTAATATACTTAAGTATTAAAAATTTTAAAGACTGTAGGAGCAGTAGAATCCCTATGTTCTTGAAAATGCAAAATGTAACATGAGTTGCACATAGACGCTCTAGTAGTAGAAATGGAATATTCTAAGTGCAAAAGTTTCGTTATAGAATCTGATAAGGAAGGACAGCCTAATCTTTAAAAAGATACAGCTTCCTCAGCTTTGAACATCTGGGGGAACTCTTCTTGGAAGTCTGAGTTTTAGTATCTTGAATTTAATGGCTCTAAATTAGCAAACATTAAAAAATGGATTTTGTAGAATCAAATTATCATGGGGAGCACTTTGCAAAGTCCTATACTTGGGAATATATACTGGGTCAAGCACCACATGTTAGTTTTGGAATCTGTATTTCCCAGTGAATAGAATTCACTGCACCAAAAAGCTTTTTTGGCACAATTCACAATACTTACAGAAATATAATTGTATCATTGAAGAAAACAAAGCTCACCTTCCTAATGATACATTTCACAAACAGCACATTAGGGTAATTTCTTAATTACAAGGAGGTATAAAGAAATACTCTGTCAATATAGTATAACTGCTTATTTCTAATTGTACCTAGGAATGAATAACTATTATTTAAAGTACTATTGAATTTTGAGGAACTGATCAAAGAATTACTATTATTAATAAAAATGTACTATTTGCAATATATTTGCCTTGGCACAAATGCAGAGTTAAAAACATAAAATTGTATTTCAAAATATACCAAATAATAGAGATTGGTTATTACTACTTTAAAATCTTACTAATTTCCACTAGCACTAAATTCAACACCAGTTATCTGTTGTATACAAGTAAAATTTTGAAAGACTTGTACACAAAATGAAAGGCTTTTTAAAATTGTCTTTTGCCATAACAGGTTATATGACCTCTTGCTAATTGTTATATTTCCTTAGAGGCACTTTGAGGCTCTTTCAAAGACATCTGCAGCAATTAGGTCTAAATTTAGAGTAGAATATTCTGCCAGATATTTTACTATATCACAAAATGTCATGCTACTGTATTTTATAATAAAACCAAATTCTCAAGTATTCTGGTATGTTACATATTATACCAAAACATCACTTTCTATAAATCTATTATTGTATACATAATATTTTTAAATATAATGGATATTTTGGTCCTAGTGAAAAAGTATAATGCAATACATTAATCTTTAGTCAAAACCCATTGAGGTGTCTGACAGGGAAACTAGCAACCATAAACTATAAGGTATATATTATTCTCAAGGACAAAATGGCAAATGATAATACAGAAAGAGATGATCACTGGAGCAATTTAGCTGGTGTGCAGACTGAATGGGCAAGTTGGCTGGTGCACAGACTAAGAAGGATCAACGTGCAAATGCCCATCAGAATTTAGCTTTTGTTATTGGTTGTTCCTGGAGGGGTTAGCACTAGTCAGTTGATATTGCTTCCCTTCCATGTGGTGTGTTTGCTCACAGCCCACTGCATGGTATACTGAAATCTCTTTATAACCAAGATAGAGTCTGAAGGTTAGAGATGCATCTTATGGTTTTTAAAACTGCTGTTACAATGTTCTAAACACTGTGATCTTTCCAAATGTGTTTTCTGTATTCGTTTTGTACTGTAGAAAATAATTCGCTATAAACTGGACTTTATAGTGTTTAAAGCAATGTTATTTATTGGCTTATTGCCCCCCTTATAATACATTTATGTACAGTATACTTAATGTAAAAGCTGTGATAATCCTTTGCCTTAAAATAAAATCCAATGCTAAATATTGAGTGTCCCAATTAATAATTCTAAGCTCCCAATTTTTCCTTTAAAGCTAACCGCAGCATCAAGTAAAACATTACACAAATACTCTGTGGAGTGTTGCTGCTGATTCTGTATTTGTCACAGTGTATGCATCTTGGCACAGGATACGGTGGCCTTCTGGGTTCTATAAATAGATATTAGTAATCCTTTTAGGGAAAGGGCCTGCTACCTCTCAGCTGTTGGCTGAATTTTCTCCTTAACTCATAAATGGATTTTCTCATGCCACATAAAAAACAGAATGACGGCCCACCATGTTCTCTCCCTGTACCTTTCTTTTTTTGTCTTGATTCCGTTTGAATCTTTATATTCTACTGGTTTTTACATTATTTTTCCCAAATAGAAAAATGCCAGAGATACCTGAAGATTGAAATCACCCACTTTCAACAGGGGAAGAGATCTTATAATTACTTAAGTCTAATCCCTTTATGGAACCTGAGTTTTAGAGAGATTTAGTGGCTAGATCGAGGTCTGAGGGACAGGGGTGGGCTGAGTACATCTTAATATCAAGAAGATGATGGAAAGTTCAATGGACGAAAAGGAGTTGTGTTAGTCTTGGTATTAGCACATGAATAAGCAGAGGTCTGCCTTGGAATAAAAATCTACTTCCTTATTGGGCTCTGATCTTTGCCCCGAATTAATTACAGTTACAGAGGAACACATTTTGTAGGCAGTTTTTCTGGGAGATAAGGAATTGGTTCCTAGAGATGATCTTTTCACCACTGGAAGCAATGCAGACCACTGTATTTGGAAGACAAAGGGACATGCTCACATGGCACAGTGAAAAGTGAAATCTTTTCCCCCTTAGTGGTGGGTGTATGACAATATACTTGCACTTTGAAAAGCATATTGTGTGGTCTGGTTATTTTTTAAAGGATCGGAAACGCTGGCCCTCTGAAGAATCAGGCGTTTCCTCGGCCCAGAAAATAGAGTGGGCTAGAAAGGCGTCCTGACTCCAATTCTTGGGCCGGGTGGTTGCAGTTTTTCAAAGGGATGTGAACAATTTCCCAAGAAAGCGCCGGCCAAGGGACTCTAGGACCCAGAGGCTGCGCGCGACGCTCGCGAGGCCCACTGTATCCTTTCGAGCTCCGGCGCCAAGGCATGAGCTGTCGGAGGACAAGGGTTCGCGGCCCGCCAGGGGACAGTCACCACAGAGACGCAGCTGGCACTGGGGCGAGCAAGCGGGCGGGCGGCGCACGGAGCGCGTAGGCGTGTCCCGGCTGGGCCGCGCTGCCCGCCCCACCCCACCGCACGCCAGCCAGGTCGGCCGCCCCCTCCCAGATCCAGCTCCAGAGCCGAGGCCGGTCGGCCGGGCCCGCGTGCCCTCGGCGGGCTGCGCAGAGCGCGGGAGTAGTTTGGGGCTGGGCATGCTGGGAGCCTCTCAAGCAACGGCCGCTGCCGCCGCCGCCGCCGCCGCGACACAGCCACAGCCACTGCGTCCGCCCCCGGTGAGCGCCACTGACGCGCGGAGATGAAATTCCCGGCCTCAGTGCTGGCGTCCGTGTTCCTGTTCGTGGCCGAGACAACGGCGGCGCTCAGCCTGAGCAGCACCTACCGCTCAGGCGGGGACCGCATGTGGCAGGCACTGACGTTGCTTTTCTCGCTACTGCCCTGCGCGCTGGTGCAGCTCACGCTCCTCTTCGTACACCGCGACCTCAGCCGCGACCGCCCGCTGGTACTGCTGCTGCACCTGCTGCAACTCGGGCCCCTTTTCAGGTGCGTGCAGAAGCCCAGAGCCAGCCCCAGGCCGTAACCCTTGTCCTCTGGCCTGATTCCCACACCGGCCCGAGTGGAGGGAGGCGGTTTTCCTGTGGAGACAGGTGGCTGGGCCCGAAGGAGGCCCGCCCTGCCCCTCAGCCCCATTATTCCAGTCAGGAGTGTGACGAATCATGGCATAATGGTCATAAACCTGGGGCACAATGAATTCCTGCTGGGTTCCCTCAGATGAAATAGCCAACATTCAGCTGAATTTGACCAACAAAAATGGCAGTTTCTTGTGATTCAACCTCATTAAACACACTGCTTTCTCTGGGGTCAAGTAGGCTCTGACAGGATTGGCTTCGGTGGTCACAAACCCTTGGGAAGTGTGTTCTAAGCTGTGGTTATGGGGACAGCATGTACAGGTGATTTAATTTTAATTTATCAAACACATGGAGCTTACTGTGTGCCAAGCACTGTTCTAAACGGTTTTCAAATATTTAATTCTCATAGGGAAGTCAAGAAATCCATGCACCCTTCTTTTCTTTTGATGGTGTTATTAATATTATGGGATATGGAAACATATGGGGTTCTAGAAATGTCTTCCAGCCCTGCCGAACTTATAAACATAGCCATTAAAGCTGGTGCACAATGCACCATTAAGACAAAACTTGCTGTGTGTTAAATAAAGAAAAATTGTTAATGACATTTCTGGAAATTATTTTTTATTAACACAAAGCAAGTAGAAATATATGGTAATAAAGGAGACTGGCTTATCTAAGGAGTTTAAAATGTGTTGTTTTGGTTCCTTTCATCTCTATGGGAAAAGCAAAACAAAGGCTGTTCATCTGGATTAGAAATAAGTTTATAATGCTGAACCTTAGACATAGGCGTCAGAGGAATTTGAAGAGATGGAAAGGCCAGAGAGACACCTTAGCTGCCAGAAAATTCAGCTAGCCAAGGACCTTTTCTACCGGGAAATCTCTCTCGCTCGCTCTCGCTTTCTCTCTCTCTCTCACACACACACACACACACAGACACACACACACAAACACACACACATCGAGTAGCAAGATAAATTTTACAAAGTTATAATATATAATTTTTGAGACAGGGTCTTGCTTTGTCGGCCAGGTTGGAGTGCAGTGAAGATCATAGCTCATTGGCTCCTCCACCTCCTGGGCTCAAGTGATACTCCTCTCTCAGTCTCCAGAGTGCCTAGGACTATAGGCAAGTGCCATCATGCCTGGCTGATTTTCTTCTTCTTCTTCTTTTTTTTTTCTTTGTAGAGAAAGAGTTTCCCTATGTTACCTAGGCTGGTCTCGAGCTCCTGAGCTCAAGTGATCCTCCTGCCTGGGCCTACCAGAGTTCTCCCTATGTTGCCCAGGCTGGTCTGGAACTCTTGAGCTCAAGTGATCCTCCTACCCAGGCCTCCCAAAGTGCAGGAATTAAAGGCGTGAGCCACCATGCCTGGCCATAAAAGTTTTGCACTTCACATTAAAGAAAACTGTTCCAGCTGACATACAGACTACTGACTTGTAGTTTACACTCAGTCACAGAAAACTTGGTGAACAAGTTTCTCAGCCTCCAGAAGCTGCAGAACCCTAGAAAGGAAAATAAACAGGTACACTGGCAGGAGTTGAGTGGGAATTTGCTGCTGATTTCCTGATAGGCTGGGAAGAGTCTGGGGCAAAAGAAAGGGAGAGAGGGGAATTTAAAAAGTCCTGCAACCTGGAGCCATTTAGTGAAGAGAGATTTAGTCCTCCCTAGCCAAGTGAGTCCTGTGGTCCAGACAGTGTTCCCACTCAGTAAAATAAATGTGATCTGACTTGGGCAGGGCAGTCATCATTTCTTAACCTTATCTGTGAAAAGAAAACAGATAATGTTTAAGTGGAGTAACAGGAAAAAGGGGAAGTGACATTTCTTAAAAGCTTCTTGTGCTAGATAGTTTGGTATGTACTTACATGCCTCAATTCACTGAATCCTCACCATGACATACATGTAATTGTCCCCATTTTGTAGGGCAGGAAAATGAGGCCTCGGACTGTGTTCTCAAGGCTCCTTAAAAACACAGTGGAGTTAATTATGCTCCCTATGCTCAGTGGAAGAAAGCAGAGGACTGTGTAGTACATTCTATCAGTAGTACCATTTTAAATTAAGAAAAAGTTTGGTCATCTTGGCAAAATCAAATAATCACAACCTAAATAGCTATCCAAATAAACGATAAGACCCTATCATTGCTACCATTTAAAATGTTTCTAAACACCAAGAGTAACCCAAAACAAAGCTAATGACACAATATATATAAAAACAGGATGACAAGTATAAACCTGAACTCAAGAAAACATGCCAAGATGTTAAGAATAGTAATTTCTGAATAGTGAGGTTATAAGTGATTTTAATATTCTGGAAAATATGTAAAACTATATAATAAAACAATTATATGCTTTGCTATATTTTTCCATTTTTAGAGTAAAAATATTTTAACTTTATTAAGGAAAGAAAACTTTTGGTGCTTTGAAGAGGTAACTTCTCAGCTATATATAAAGTTTCAACACTATAAAAATACCTATTTCCAGAAAGTTCTGAATGTGCCATTGTCTTCTTGGAGCAAAAACAAAACAAAAGATAAAAACCAAAACAACAGGCAACCCCCTTCCATCAATAAGGAGTCTCTGATTCTAATGCAGCTGATTTATTTCAAGGAGATATTGGACCCGTGACCTTAGAGCTGAGATAAACAAAATGTGGCTCCAAGTCTCTTAGATTCCAGATTAAAAGAAAAGCAGTTTGTTCTTGGGTATTAGCCTGACTTAATATCTTGCTGGAATTTCTTCCTGCTGACTGATTCTGTTTTAACTCTAAGACATCAACTTTACATGATAAATATTCTTTCCCTCAAACAAAGGAGAGTCATGGTGTTTCTTACCCCCTTCCTTATGGATTAGATTTAGTAATATTTCTAAACTGTGTTTTGACAGTTTAACTCTTCTTACCTTTGGGTGAGTACTAGCCAAACTCATGTTTTTGCTAGGTAGATGCTGTGTTTGAGAGTTCATGCAGCACGATGGCCCAGTTAAACTGCAAGAGATTACACTAATGATTCTGGGCTAAATACTACTAACTAGGCTTTGCTCCTTCTTTTCTTTAGGGAGGCATAGAGAGAGCACCATATTTCATTTGTATCAGTCTTGTATTTAAAATGGTAGTTGCAATTTATATGATTGTTTTCACATTAAGCCTGAGATTGAATGATATAAACTTTGGATAATGCCTTGAATGTATTTATAATTTTAAGGAAAATCTTATTGTGCATTAAAATAGATACTCTAGCAAACCAGAGCAGGGAAAAGATGTCTTACCCAAAACACAAAAAATTGTAAAATTCTGTTTATCATTCTTTTACATTTATGCTAATTTTCATAAATTAATTGGGAGGAATAAATATAATTGAGTCACAAGTTCAGGGATTCGCCTCATCTTTTTTTTATTGTTGGTATAGTGAGGAAAAATGGTACATGAAAAATCTGGATTTATAAAATAAAGGCTAAGAAGTTCTCGAAATCTTTTCCAGAATATTGCAAATGATTCACCATAATATATCCTTCTACGGTAAACTTTTGTAAGAATTTAAAGTATTAATAGTCTACATTTGAAGAGCGTTTATTTTTTTTCGTTTGCAAAGTGCTTTTACATACAGTATTTAATTTCATCCGTGGTAAAACCATGTGAGTTAACTGTCATTATCTTATTTTTACAGTCCAGGAATTGAGGTTCAGTGAGATTAAGCAAGTGGCTTTTCAAAGGTTTCACAGCATTTTCTATTTAACCAATTTGGGTTTTGTGTAGGCTTACAGAGCATGTGTGTCATGTGAAGATAATGCGGCTTATTGGAAATTATAGTATTTCTTTGGAAAAAGTATTTTAATTAGGGTCTCTGGTACCACGGATTATTTATGCTGGCATCAACATGCATGATTTCAGCTAAGGAATAAGCTCCTTCTGCTAGGATGCTTGAAAAATGGGATATATGATACTTGAAAATGGGATAAAGTGAAAAATAAGGATCAACATGCTGATTATCTGTATTGGGGTTGGCAAACTGTGCCCCACAGACCAAATACCCTCATCACTTGTTTTTGTAAGTAAAGTTTTATTAGAACACAGCCTTACCCACTGGTTTATGTATTGGCTGTAACTGCTTTCACATTGCAGAGACAGAATTGAGCAGTTGCAACAGAGACCATGGCCTGCAAATCATAAAATATTTACTGTTTATAAATACTTCACAGAAACGTTTGCTGTCCCTTGGTGTACATGATACTGAAAAACTATCTTGAATATTCAATTTTGATAAAAGTATCTTAATTTCTGGCTTTATTTAGACAACGTCTCAAGTAACAAACAAAAAACCCCAAAAAAATAACAGATTTTGAGTAATTAGATGAGTCTTGCAGAATTCCAAGCATAGTAGTTTGTTTCTTATCAGTTTTCTTAACCAACAGTGGCAGGAGATCGTGGAGACTTTTACAAATGTGTTAAACACCTATGACTACATGTAAATCTCTGTGCTAATACAAAAGTATCACCTGGGAAAAACAGGCTCTTACAAGAGGTTCTACCTGAGCTTTAGGACCTTCTTTCATTTCCATCAAATGACCATGAAAGTTTTATTTTGTTTACGATTCTGCAGAATGCTTCCAGTTTCACACAGCCCCTTCCCTGGCATCAGGAAAATTGCTTTCTCCTCTGAACCCTCATTTCATTCATTCAGTTCTTAGCATGTGCTGGTATTTAATTTTTTTTGTTTTAGTCTTTCAAAACTCTAAGCTTGATTTTATTATGCAAGTAAAACATTTTTTGAATGACAGGAGAGCAGAAAACAGATATGCACAATGAGGAAAAGAAAAGCTCTAATTCGACTGCTCAGAGAGAACAATTCCTAATTTTTTTGTTGTATATACTTACTAATATTTTTATAATGGTATGCTAGTAAACTGTCTCTTGGAGAAAACAAGCCTGGATTTTCAGTGTTTGCTGATTTCTTTAATGCATATATTCCCATCATGATTGATCAAGCTACCAGTTGTTTAACAACTGGCTCACAAAATTTCTATTTAACAGTCTGCACTCTTGAGTCAGCATGAGCCAACTCAAACAGCCAGGTTGCTTTTTATATGTATGTGTATTTGTGTGTAATCTGTATGTATTCTTATATATGTGATTTTCTTTTTACAAACAGAAATGGAATTTAAAATATATGATTCTATTGTAATTTGCTTCTTTCGCATGCCAAATATGTTAAAAATATTTAGCTTGGTCAACATAGTAAGATTGTTTCCTCACAAAAAATAAAATTAGCTGAGCACAGTAGCATGCATCTGGAGTTTCAGCTTCTTAGGAGGCTCAGGAATGAGGGTACCCTGAGGCCAGTAGTTGGAGGCTGCAATGAGTTATGATCACACCACTGCACTCCAGCCTGGGTGAGAGAGTGAGACTGACATTTTTAAAAATTTTGTATATTGGTATATGTACTTCTATACCATTGATGTTAAGGACTGTATAATGTTTCATTAAATTGATATATGAGGATTTATTTATTCTTTCATTTTGGGTACCTTTAGAGTATTCCCAGAATTTTGCTATTACACATAATGCTATGATTTAAATTGTTGCAATATATTTTCTTCTAAGTGAGATCGTATATGATAAAATATTTCACAACTAAAAGTGCTATATAAATATTAATTTTCATCGTTTATTATTCTTATTGTGCATATGTCCCACTATCCCATTTAGATTGTGAGTGCCCCAGAATGAGGCAGGAGTATCCGGCTGTCTGCATTCCTCACAGCACTTAGTAAACTGCATCTTCATTCATCTCGTATTTGAGAATAAAGATGATTATCAGTTTATTCTTTTTTTTTTTTTTTTAGACGGAGTCTCGCTCTGTCACCCAGGCTGGAGTGCAGTGGTATGATTTCAGCTCACTGCAACCTCCGCCTCCTGATTTCAAGCGATTCTCCTCCCTCGGCCTCCCCATTAGGTAGGAATATAGGGGCGCACCACCATGTTTGGCAAATTTTTGTATTTTTAATAGAGATGTGGTTTCGCCATGTTGGCCAGGCTGGTCTCAAACTTCTGACCTCAGGTGATCCACCTGCCTCAGGCTCCCAAAGTGCTGGGATTACAGGCGTGAGCCACCGCGCTCAGCCAATTTATTCTGTTTTCTAATCCTTGTTTTGGTCCGTGGTCCAACAGTGTGAAGTTGCTAGGCCCTATACAATCTCAGTCATTAATTTGAGTTTTCCTTCAGAGAAAATTCAACTGGACATGCTTGGGATTGAACTCATGGCCTGAACTTTATTGACATTATTTCCAACTGAAAAAACTGGTCTATGTGGTTTTACGTGTTTTCATGTAATATATTAAAGTGTTCTTGACCCCATGGGACAAAATGTACTATACAAATCAACCCCCATTCCCACACCCCCACACATTATGCACCTTCTTTCCCCTAGCAACAAATGAACAATGGTATTGATCACAAAATAAGTCCACTTCGAACTCACCAGAAAGGTTCCTGCATTTCCTCTCTTACATCAAGCTTTATTTTATTATTTCAAATTATAAATACATTCTAGTTGCTATAGTCGCCTCAGGGTAAGAGTATAAAGTAAACATTATAACATTAACATTTAATGAAATAGATAAAGCCATTAAAATCTTCTGGCAGCATCATAAGGTTGATATAAAAGTGCGTGTTAGAGGAGGGACAAAAAGTCCTTTAACAAGTTTTAAACCTAAGGCTGTGAGCATTTTTCTTACTCCTCAGGAAAACACATTTTTCCCCCAGAATTTTATTATGAAAATTTTTAAACACACAGAAGAAAAGTTGAAGGAATTCTATAGTGAACACCCAAGTACCCACCACCTAGATTCTACAATTAACATTTTGTTTCACATATTTATCCATCAATTCGTGTGTGTGTGTGTGTGTGTGTGTGTGTGTGTGTGTGTGTGTGTGTATACTTCAAAGTTAATCACAGACATCAGTACTTTTCCCACTTCAGCATCTATATTTTTACCTAGAGAGTAAATACAAATTTTAAAACCCAGGTATTCTCAGTCTGGAAAGGTCACTGGTTAAGCCTCCATCCCTAGGTGGGATTGACTTTAATCCTGCCCTGTAAGGGCTTATGAAAACAGAGAGTTAGGTAACATATTGTGGTCTCCCAGTGAAATGCTAGATGGCAAGCTGCCCTGTGCTGGACCATTTCTGAGCCATAGCTTCTGCTTTAACTGGGGTGGTTTGGGGCATTTTTTGGATGTGGAACACACATGCACATGTTTGCATGCATGTGCACAGTCACACTGTATTATCACCATTTTTCACAGCAATATGACAAGGTGGGTATTATATCTGCTTCATAGTGGAGGGAATGCACGGGACTGGGGTTAGTAAGCAACTTGGCTATGGCTACACAGCTAGTATGCACATTTTTTCTGTGGCTCTGGAGCCAGAACCACTTTCCATTCTCTAAGAGATCTCTTTGCTTCAGTGGCCTTTGGTGTTACCTCTTCATTTGATTCTCATTCAATTCCCATTGGCCTGCTGGAAAGCCTCAAGAGGACTGCATACTGAGAATTGGTCCTTGGAATGATTGATTTAGAAGAGTGACTACAGTTCAGAATAGCCAAGTCAAGGCCTTGAGAATCAAGCTAAAAGTAAGTAGGATGAGCATGAAAAGTCAGAATCCTGTCTGTCTCTAATTATTATGACTTGCTGATTTGTTTTCAGGTGTTTTGAAGTCTTCTGCATCTACTTTCAGTCAGGCAACAATGAAGAGCCCTATGTCAGTATCACCAAGAAAAGGCAAATGCCAAAAAATGGACTCTCAGAGGAGATTGAGAAGGAGGTGGGCCAGGCAGAAGGCAAGCTAATTACCCACCGATCAGCATTCAGCCGGGCATCGGTGATCCAAGCTTTCTTGGGCTCAGCCCCCCAGCTGACCCTACAGTTGTACATAAGCATCATGCAGCAGGACGTCACTGTTGGAAGAAGTATGTATATTTTTTATTTCTGCCTGCATTTGGGATCAAAATGAGAAGCAAAACATACAGTTTACTTTGTTTCAAGTGAAATTTGTTCATAAGTGCATTTAATTCTGAATCTGTGTTCTAGCTACTATGCTCAAAACTCAGTTAAAATAACAACATTTATTTTGCTTATAACTGCATTCTTGGCAGGGCTCAAAAGGGTTATCTCATCTGTCATCCACTGTGGATCAGCTGGGGTGGCTCAAAAGTTGGGAGTTGGAATCTGTTGAAGCTCACTGTTGAAGGCGCCTTCACTCACATGTCTTGCTGCACACATGTTTTCATATTGGTTGTTGCTGGGAGTCTCAGAACTTCTCCATTTGATTTCTCTGGGTGGGTGAGTTTGGGCTTCCTTCGAGCATGGTAGCTGCTTCCAAGGGTGAGTGTTCTAAGAATGAGGAAAGGCCAGATGGAAGCCATATCAGCTTTTGTGATCCAGGCTTGGGAGTTGTGGGACATCATTTCTGCTTCCTTCTCTTTGTTGATGTAGTTACAGAGTTCTGCCCAGATTCAAGGGAAGGGAGAGAGATGTAAACCAAAAATACTGTTGTGGCCATTTTTAGAAAACATGGTTTACTAGAGGCTGAAAATTCAGCTACTGGAGGCTGAAGATAAGTGCCTCTCTGAGGGTAAATTGTGGGGTATCTAACCAAGTTTGGGAAATGAGGCAAAGGTTTCCAGAACATAGGTTTAAACTGAAAACTGGTAGATGAAGAAAAGAAGCCAGGCTGAAGAAAAAGCAGGAAACAGCATCCCAGGATTTCAAGCTTTATTCCAGAGGCAATGGGAAGGCACTGATGAGTTTTAAGCAACAAGTGTAAGGATCAAATTTAGTTTTAGAAACTTATTACTCTGCAAAATGGATTGGAAGAGAGTGAAGGGAGAAACAGAGAAGCTAGGAAGTGGGCTACTATAGTTGTCAAGGTGAGAATAATGGCCTGGACTGGAATAGTCAGAGTGGATATTGGAGCAATATTAAGAATGCATAAGTGTAACAATGTGATGATTATTTGGATATGAAGGCATAGCAGTGAGAGATGTCAAGAATAATTCGCAGTTCCTGATGGATCTCCATTTGCCTTGGTAGAGCACTCTGGAGAAGTAGCAGGTTTGTGATGTATATTTTACTTTCAATTTCAGACTTAAAGAAACTAATACATTTTAAAGATTATATCTAACTCATGAGAGAACAAGCAAATGTTTGGACCAGCTTATAAGATAACCCAAAGGACAGACATAGGAATATTGACTAGAGATATTGAAATGAGTATGTAAATGGAAGTAAAACTGGTTTTATTACAGCATGAGAGGGGTGACAATTGAACCTCTACTGTACGATACATTGAGCATGTCTATTAGGGACTTATAGCTTACACAGGAATGTAAATGAGCTCACTGGCAATACAAAGTTAGAATCAGAGAACCTGGAGTGGTGTACTGAAGACAGGACAATGTTTTAATTGAAACACATTTTTTGGCTGTTGCTAGAATGTTTAAGTCAAGTACAAAGTTAGACTTTCCTCAAATAGATGGTCCACTTATTAGGGTGAGTAGGTTCCTGTCACAGACATTTTGAGACCAGGTTTGATCAGGGCCCAGTGGACACCAATAATATCACAAAGTTGATTTTGTCACAAAGGCAGCTCCCTGACCAAAGAGGGCCTGGAGCACAGTGGGCGGGAATAAGCACTGGTGCCTGGAGAGGCTCAGGCCAATGGGAAAATCAATGAGGGCTGGTCAAGACAAACTCACCAAGACCATGTCAGGGCAAAAAGGAGCTTTAGAAAGGAGATTCTTTCCTGCTCCACAAAAGCCTAGCTGCAGTTTCTTGTTAGCCACATGGATGGCTTTCTGTGAGAAGGTCAGTATGCCTAGCACCTGAGCTCATCCATACCTGTTTTCCTGGCTGGTATTCTCTAGTATCTGACAGCCAACATCCTGGGGCAGGCAGGCAAGGAGACCCAGAACAGCTGCGGGGTACCCATCACCCCAGAACACACGGAGAGGGCCATGCACAAGGATAAGCAACTCAGATGCATCTTGGAGGATGTACCCACCCTCAGGTTGATGAAGTGCCCCAGCCCAAGAAGGATGGATGGCTGGGTCTCAGAACCTGGCAGGACTTCATCAATCGCTTCATCCAGCCTCAAAAATTTCCACAGATGAGAGACCCAGGCCGCTGCCATCAACCCATGCTATTAAAGTCTTTAATGACAGTGCCCCTGACTTCTCTCAGGTTCTCTCGTTTTGTGTTGGAGGTGTCTGTGAGACATTTAGGAGAAGCTATCCCATAGAGAGCTGAATGGGTGGAACGTAATGACCAGTGTGGGGTGTTAATATCAGTGATTTTAAAGGGAGACAGTTTCCAATGGTGATAGTGAGAGCACCAGCCCTGGTGGGAAGAGCTGACTGGGGTAAAGACACAGGCATCCTCATTGGCTTTGAACTGGAAGGCCTTTTGAGGCCAAGTAGTTGGCTGGGGGCCTCCTAGGCTTGTTAAATTCTCAGCCTGATCCTGGGGCCTGGCGTGGAGTTGCAAACTCTGACTTAGGTGCGGGAGGCTTTATTCAGGATAGGAATGTCTAAAGTAAGAGGTTGGTGGCCACAGGGGTGAGTGCAGAGGGGGCATATTGTATACTGGCTGGCATGAACTTAATGGGACAGGCTTTACATGGATATTGAGGAGTGATGGGGAAAACACAAAGAAAAATGCAAAAAAAAAAAAAAGTTATGGTCATGTTATTTTATTTATTTCTGCCTCATTCCAAAAGAGGACTTGAGATAGGGGTTAGTAACTGGTACTGTGAAACTTTGTTAGGAATATATTCTTCTGTCGTCTTGTGGACACTGGACACTGTTAAATTAACTGGTAACGTTATATGAAAGTTCTGTGGCCTAGGACATGCAATCTAATCAGTTCTTAATGGTGCTAAATATTAGAAAACTTATTTGTAAATGTAATCCATTATAAACACAATTATCAATCGCATTCCCAGAAAAAATAATCTGTGTGTGATCATGTATTTCATAGAACAGCATAGAGTTATCAGTGGCCAAAAACAGGTTTGAAAGGTATACAAATGACCTGTGTAATTCTGTCTCGAGTGATGGCCTCCAAAGCATGTACTGTACTTTTAAAAATTCATGCTCTGTACTATTTTAAAAAGGTGTCACATCAAGTGTTGTAGCAATCTGTCCCCTTGCCTGTGAATGTCCATATTTTAGATTTTCACCTGTTCTTTGGATCCTCTATGGTCACACTCTGCTGCCTGCTGGGCAGAGGCTGCAGATTCAATAACACATCAGACAACCTGGGTTTAAGATCCCAGTTCACCACTTTCTGGCCATGCAATCTTGGACTTTTATTTACTCTCACAGAGCAGATTTGCTCATGTGTAAAATAGCCATAACAAGAGCCCCTCTATCTTTAGTTTTCCAAAAGATTGAGTCCACTTGGGATATGCACAGTGTGGTCCTTAATAAACAGCTGCATCTGTCTCCCTCCCTAACCCCAGACATGCAGGCAGGCTTCCACAGGGTGTCTCCGGGCCTGGTTCTCAGGTTACTGTTGGGCACTTGGGCCACCGGCTGTGAGAACCACATCCTGCTGAGCCCTGTGGAGAGACAAGAGAGTGCCCAGCAGAGGAAGGAGACAACAGAAGAGGGATGGGCCAGGTGGTCCCCACTCTGGTGTCCCCTTTGCTCCTCCTGCCTTGTGACTCGCCCTCTCTCTGCCTCTGTCTAAGCAAAAGGACCCACCTTGGCCTTTGGCTAATTCACAGGAGTGTCCTGAGAATGAAGGAAATAGCAGTCTCTTGTTTAAAAACTGGATTGTGAGAAACCTATGTCCTGGACACAAAGATGTTTTACTTCAGCAAGGGGAGGGGGTACTGATGTTGCCATGAAGTGATAAGCTGAAGGAGACTCCGCACTTGGAGCTGCTGGAGAGAGGCCTGCTTGCAACTCAAATGCACAGAAGAGAAAGCAAGGAGCTGGGCTAAGGCTGGGAGTGCTCCACGGCTCTCCATAAAAAAATCACTCAGTGGTGGGGTGGGCAGCTTGACAATAAGGTGCCTGGAAATATAATGTTCAGTGGACATGGTATGGCAAGAAAGGCTTCTGGGATTTAGACAAGCACATCTTCCAAATGGCAAGGACAGCCCTGATACTACTAATCTCTAATAAATTATTTCCTAAGCATAATCTACAAAGTGGCATCTTACAACTCAATATGGATGGCAGACATGTATGCTAGTTCTAAGCAGACTTCTTAAAAGAAAATTAATAAGCTGGTAACAGTTGAAAATCAAGAACATTTTACCTGAAAGTTGTGATTTCTGGCTCTCTTGAGACGTAAAAGTGAGAGTACACATGATTACAGTCGCATAGAAATGACTAGCTATTGCTCCATGAAGACTGGGCCTCTGGTTTGCCATAGTCTTTCCGCACTCTTCCCTATGGAGTCCCATATCTGATCCACTTCATCAATTTATAGTAGTTGTCTGATTAATGGAGATACTTGAGATTGTTACCCTCACTATAAATTAATTCTAAGTCCACAGTATTCAGAACAATCAATCTCATTTAATGAAGTACTATGGGTGTAGTGCTGGGTGTAGTGCTTCTCAAAATATCATTGGTGTAGGACCAGTATTAGCAAACTTCATTGTTTTTCTTGTTCCAGTACATTGTGAACTGATATGTGGTTTTATTACTAGTATGCCACTCATATTTGACTTGTCATTCGAGTTTAACAACTGCATTGGTATATACCTTGTTCAAAAAGTGAGCCCACTAATTCAAATGTTGTGGCCAAATCAGATGATATGCAAATTCCTAAATGCCATCTCTCAGTGTTTCTATCCATACTTATTGTAACTGACTGGTAACAGACAGTTCATTGACCAGTACCAGTCCTCAAACTTTTTAGATTTATATTTTAGATCTAATGAAAAGCAGTAAAC